TGCTAAAAATATAATTCATATTGTTTTATGAAAAGGTGAAAACTAATCAAATTTATTGGGAAAGATTATTTCTTTTTAACCAACAATATAATTGATGGAAAATCAAAAAAAAAATTCTTAAAAGTTAAGTTTTTTGATCCTTTTAGTTTTTTTTTTTTTTTTGTTTTTTTTGCAAATATATAGAAATATTTTTCATAAATTTAAATTTTTAAAAAAAGATCTGTCAATTTTTTTTATAATTTAAAAATAGATTAACATATTTTTTGATTTGATGTCATAAATTAATTAATAAATTAACCAGAACCAACAAAAGTTGGATAAATATATTTTTCAAAGTAATTAAAATCTGTGCATGAAAATTTTTTTTTAACTGTTTTGTAATAATTTGTCTATTGCTTCTTGACAGATTCTTCAAAAAAAAAAAATCTTTTTTTTTTTTTGTTTATGTCAAAACATGGGATTTTCCTTTTCCATGATTTTATTGGAAAAAAAAATGGAATTGATAACATTGTTAAAATGTGATTTTATGAAAACTATACCAATATAAAATTTTTCAATAACAGTATTGTTAAATAATCAATTATTTCAGTTAAAAAAGTTTAAAAAAAAATACTACTAAACAGATTTGGATTTTTTATGTTATTGTTTAAAGTTTTAATTATTTTAATTTTTTTCTTTTAAAAAAGAGTAAATAGCAATAAAAAAAAAATTATCTTTTCCTTGAATTATCAGAGAAATAAACCTTACTGATATGAAATATTTTTAAAAATTTTTTTTTTTTTTTTTAAACATTTAATAATATTTTTACTTATCAAAAATAAGAATGATTAATTCCAAAATTTTAAATCCTTAAAAAAAAAGTTTCTCAATAGTCCAATCTATTTTTTTTTGAGTAACAAGCAATTTTATTTTTTAATGAAATTAAAAAATATGCATTTATATTAATCATTTGAAGAAAAAGAATGATACCAAAGGTTTTAATTGAATAAGAAAAATAACTTCAATTTTTTTTTATTTTACTAAAATTTAAAAATGATTTAATAGAAAAAAAAAAAAAAAAAAAAATAAATAAAAAAAATTCTTTGAAAAATAGGGATAAAAAAATGAAAAAAAAATGAAAAATTTAATGAGAAGTGATTTTAATTTCTTGCAAAAAATCAAATTTTACATTTTGGGCATTTCAGGAATTTTTTTTAAATGAATTAAATTATTTTAGATTTTGTTTTTTCCAGAAAATTTTAATTAGAAAAAAAATAAATTATATATCATTCAGTATGTTAATGATATTGTTACTAAACAAGACAATACTTGTGATTATATTAGTTAAAATCAGAAATGGAAAATTTAATTATCAATTTTTTTTTTTAGGAATTTAAAAAAATTTGAATTTAAAAAATTTGAAAAAAAAAAAACTTTTTGTTAAATTTTTAATTTTTGTTATATATTATGGACACTATTATGTTAAATTTTTTTTTTTTTGAAATAAATTTTAACTGGGGAAAATTTTAATTTTTATAAATTCATTCCCCAACCTTAGATATAATAAAATTGTAGAATACCTATTTTAAACAGATTTTTAATTGGTTTCAAATCAGATTTAATTAAACTTAATTAAAAGCTAATATTTAAAATTTCAGAAAATATTTGAAAAAAAAAAGATTTTTTTTTAATAAAGAGAATTTATATATATAAAGGTATATAAATATATATATTAAAATCAATAATTTCAACATTGGAAACTTTTTTTTTTTATTTTTAAATTAGTATTAAAAATATCAAAGGTGTTTTATTTAATTCATGTTTTTTTTTTTTTTTCAATTTTTCCCAGTTAAAATAAAAGCTTCAAGAAAGATTTTTTCATTTTTAGAAAGTAATTTTATCAGGATCTCACACACACAATAAAAAAAGTTTAAACCTAAGGTTTAAAAATGAAAATTTTTCTTGAAACTTTTTATTTTAGTTTTAATTTCAAGCTAATAGATTAAATTTAATATTTCAATTTTTTTTAACTTTTTAAAAAAAAAAATAATTTAAATTGACTGGAAACAAATTTTTTGGGGGGTTAAAATAGCTGATTAGTGCCCCATTTTTTTTTTTTTTTTAGTTGTAATTCTCTTAAATAAAAAATTTTTCAAAAATAAAATCTACTTTCCTGAAACTTTATTTGAGGAATATTAGCTGATTTAAAGTATAATTAATCTGATTTGAAACAAATATTTACTTTAAGTTTAAAATATTGCAGAAATGCATTTTCTAACCACACAGTAGATATATTGATGTGTTTGAAAGGTGATGACAGGTCTAAATAATGTTGTTCTATCTATGGAGACTATCTGTAAAACAAAATTTAAGAGAATGACATGAACACCTTTCCCATTTTTAAGTACTCAGTAATCTTAAAAATTTAAGAAAATATTCTCTATAATCATAATGTTTCATTGAATTTTAGAAATTTTGGCTTTAAAAAAAAATTCAAAATTGTTTTTTAAATATTGGTTCTTTTTTGATGATTTTTATTAAGCTTTTTCGTTTATGAGTAGTAAATATAGTTTTCACTTATCATCAAATCTGCTGAAATTAATACCAGAATTTTAAAAGATTTAGAACTTAATAAATTTTTCTAATTAATTTTTTTTAAATTTTTTAATTGTTTTCATTTTGAAAACAATTTTGGAGGTACCTATTTTCTCAGTTGCGTTATTCTAATCTAGAGTCTAAAATTTTTTAGACTAAAAAAAAAAAAGTAATTAATATTTTAATATTTGTTTCAATTTCGATTAATTAAACTTTAAATCGACTAATTTTCTCAAATAATATCATCACAGAATATATTATGTAGAGGATATTTTATTTTTGAAAGATTCTTTAGTTAAATAAATAAATAAATAGAAATATTTTTTTTTTGACAGATCTGTCAAAATGGACAAATTTTTTATCGATTTCTAAACTGATAAGTGGGTGGGGGGGGAAAGATTCCAATTCAAATTTGGTTTGGAATGCACCAAAGTATTTTGCTCATTGGGAATATTAAATTTAATTTGAAATTAAAAAAAAATATTCAGGAAAGATTTTATTTTTCTAGAACGCATTTTGGAAGCGTAATGAAAACAGACAAAAATTGAGGTGGAATAGTTTAAAAAAAATTCAGTACAAGTTATAACCAAAGAGCATTTTCTTTTTCTTGAAGAGACTTAAAAGAGAAAATTGCCACATGTAGAGAAAGAACACGCATAAAGTAAAATAAATAATAAAACACGTGTTGATTGAACAAGCAACGGGGGAACTCTAGCAAAAATAAACAAACGTTATTTCAACTTCTGCAGCATTCAAGCATTAATTAAAAAAAAAAAAATTAAATGCTTCAAGGCTGCAGAAGTTTAAAAAAAAAAAAAAAAAAGACAGTTAGGTTTTGTGGATCGAGCAACTTTGAATCTATTTAATTACTCGCTACTAACATACAATTTTAAAAAGAGGTTAAAAAGAGTCACAAAATAAAACACCAGTTCTTTTTCTTTCCTTAGGACTTGGTTGGGGTTTTTTGTCTTTGCCTAGCAAAATCAGTGCAGTTTAATTTTAGGCTTCACGCTTGGATAAATTAACATTCCTTATTAATATCGTTACGTTACGGTTAAAATCAAAATAAATATATAAAAAAAAAAAAGCTAAAAAATCACGTGTGTATATCTTTAAATTTGCTTGTAGGTAATTAAATTAAGTTTTTTTAAAGTTAGCTTATTCAATCATCTGAAAAAGATTTTTTTTTATAAAGATTGTTTACATTGATTTTTTTTTTATTTTTGCTTAATAACAGTCATGATTTTGTTTTTTGTTGTTTTGTCGAAAACTATAACTAAGTACCATTCCATAAATTCTTCAAAAAATTAAAGATAATTAAAACTAAAAGTTTAAATTACATTGTGTTCTATTATGATATTGTTTTTTTCTTCCATAAAAAATAAATAAAACTAAAAGCTACAAGCAAGTCTTTCGTTGCCTATATTAACTTTTATAAAGTACCAAACAAATACCTAAATGCGATAGTTTGACGTTGTTAGAATAAATAAACAAAATAAATTTAATAAATAAATAAAAAGGACGATTAATTATTTCATTCATTCTTCTTAACATAAGAAACGACAATGTCTGTAACACATCCACTACTGGTGGGAGGGAAGAAACAAAAAGTTATTCGTGATGTAAAGAAGATGATTTGGGCTTGGGGGGGGGTACAGACATGAGATCGACATGCCATCAGAAATCTTTTTAGATAATCAGAATAGTGATTTAATCACAAATATTGCTAAGTAAAGAAAACATCCACAGTGAACCCTAAAAAACTTTAAAAGACGAGACTTAACATTTGCATCCACAAGGTTTCACTGACAAACAAGTAGTAATGACAGTTATTTTTATTTATTTTTTTTAAGGAGCTAGGGAGAAGAAAAGTTTTAAGATAATTTTTAATTGTAAATTAAAGTTATAATATAAAAAAAAAATAAAAGGCATAAAAAAAATTGAGTAGACTCAGAAAAAATGGAATTAAATTTTTAGTTTTGAAACTATTTGCTTTAAATTTAAACAATGGAAACTTAAAAATCATTGATAAGTAACTTTTTAACTCCTGTTAAAGTAGTTTGTCACTGGGGTGGGGATGATATCAAAGTTGTAAAAGAAAAGAAAAAAAATTAAGTGAAGTGATCCCCAACTTTATGACCATTTTATTCAAAACTGGAACTCTCCTGTCTGTTATTTTCAAGTTCTCATTTAAAATTAAAATTATCCCAACACAAAAAATAGATACTCAAATCTTTAAAATAAAGAGGTGCATTAATCAAGAATGATTCACAAATGATGACAGATATTGTATTAAACAATAAAAGTACGAGAAGAAAAGTTGAATTATTGTCGGTTATTCGTAACTCTCATGTCTGCCTGCTGCTAGAAAAAAGTATAAGAACCTTACCACTTCACACGCATGTGGTTGGTCTTTGTCAACTTACTTTAAATCGGTAAATAGGTCTTGTCGCCGTTGAATAACCAGCTAGCATGATAGCTATCCTTTCCATAGATCCATGAAGATTGGTACCTTCTCGGTACATCTGCACAGAAACATCTAAAAGGTATAACCGGGTGTTCATCTTGACGAAGGGACGGAGACCGATATAACAGTAAAGATATATTACAGCTACCCGCGCTCTGAAACGGTGGTCACTGAACTCTGTCTCTTCTCAAGTGATTTCCCCTGTCGCTCTTAATTTCGATGTTCCCCATGTTTTCAATCTCTATTAATTGGTTCCACTATTGGGTAGGTACTATTTCATGTCCGCAAATGATCCGGTTACCACTGTGAGTATAAACTTGCCTTCGGTCGAGATGCCAAATCAAACTTAACAAAGCTATGCTTGAAATGTCAAATGTAAAAAATAATTAGCCACTTTGGCTTTTTTTTTTATTCATTTATGAGCGATCATAACTCAGAAGGAATCATTGATTTGGAAAACATATCATATTCGTGACCAGAGATCGTTAGTTTTAAAGTATATTTCCCGAAAATCCGGTTCCCAGATGTAACATCCTCTTCCCACTAAAAAGGGTAGGAGAGCTATTCTCTGGCGGAATTGGGCAATTTTGTTCCTCTCTCCACGTATGCATGGGGTCCCATTTTAAAGTCAGTTGTGGGTGGGAAATCGAAAGTCTTTTTTAATGCCATGATCTTTAGGACGTAGGCGATCATTTCTTTTCACATATTCCTTTAAAGTTTCTTATCCGTGAATTGCCATAGCTTCATGGGAAATATAGTGGAGTGGTTTTCTATTGCTTTCTCAACTTTTAGAAGTGTCCTTCTCCCTTCAGAATATTTTGCAGACGATCATTTCTCTCTCCACAGATTCCTTTACTGTGAATTGCCATGAATTTTTAGGAACGATAGAAAAGCTTTTCATCTGCACAGTTTTGAATTCAGTGTTTTCTTTCTCTTAGATTGGTTGTCACCCAAGGTTAGAGAGCCACATCTACCCTGCTTACTTAGAGTTTTATTATCTAATAATTTTTTTTATTTAAATAATCATAGCTGACGGAGTGGAGGAAAGACGGACTTAAGCCTTACGTATTAGTGTGAAAGTGAATGCAACAGACTAGTCTGGGAGTTGAACTCGGCTCATTGATTCCACTTTCTGCACTGATATCCATCACACTATCTGTGCATCCTTTAGGTACTTACTTGGGCAACTATTGTTGCTCATTTTCTGGTATATTTACAACAGATATCTCCTTTAATCTTTTCCTTTTCTATTTGTTAACCGAACTAGCATAATACCAATAAAAAGTAGATTGGTATTTCTGCAAATCTGTGTGCTCAGCTGAAGATCAAATATCTGCTCCTGGGCTATCTTCCTAGGATCAGTAGTATCTGTGTACTCTGTGAAAAGTGTTCAACACACACACACACACACACACACACACAAAATACTCATTTCATATAGATGGATAAAAAAATGTTAACACTTCTTTGTTAAAATACTGTATCTGTAAATGCTAAAAACGTGAAAACAAAATCTGACACAGGATAATGTTGTACATACCTTTTTTTTTTTATAATGGTTTACTGTCATTTTACCCAAGGAAATTTCATTAAAAGATAGATAAAAAAAATGTAAAAAGGTTTGTCAGTATGTAATATGTGACTCACATTAGATGATGCCAAAATAGGCTTTGCACTCAGTATCAATCAGAGAAGTCAGGTGAATCAGCAGGTTGTCTTGAGATATAAACTCGTAGTGACCTGGTGCAGATTTGCACCTTCATTAGATGTCACTGGCTGCCCCTGACATATAGACATAGTGGTTTACTTAGCTGTACTTGGGCTGTGTATCCATAGGACAAATTGTATGACAGGTAGATATATAAGCAGAAAGTATTGTGATTGGTTTTATAAAAAGAAAACTACAACACATATCAATTCAGCATTTAATCTCCTTTGAAGTAGACCTCTTCTGAATCAACACACTTTATCCAGTGTTGTTTCCTTTGGTGGAAGCATTCCTGGAATTCCTTTTTTTTTGGTATAATGAGCAGTGCTTTGTTGCATTCTCTTGGATTTCCTGTCTTGAAATCTAGTTCCATTCAAGTGGGATTTGATTTTTGAAGAGGAAAAGGTCACAATGATCATGATCTGGGGAATATTGGGTTTGTCGGACCTGGAGAATGTTGTGCTTGGACAAAAACTGTTGCACAATTGATATGTGTTGAAGTTTTCTTTTTATATAACCAGTTTTGAAACTGCACAAGCAATAGTCACTGATGGAACCTCTGTGGTGTGATGAAACAACCACACTCTACGCACCTTCCTTCCAAGCTTTACTATAAACAATGGAAGCGAGCAAGAATATTATAACATTGTGTATGTATGACAGAGTCCAAGGTCAATCTGTGCCAAGCAGCTTCACTCTGCGTACTTTAGCTACATTACCATAGCAACAGTGCTGATACTTTTTGATCAGATCTTGTATATACATACATAAATGATTCACTGACTGATATGAAATATCCAAACAAAATATGTAAGATAGATTTTGTGAAAATCAGTTTGACATTTAAAATTTTATTCTGTTGTCAATATTTCTTTCAATCAGAACATCATCAGAACAATTGAAAAAAACTAACGAAAAAATCATTACCATTGTAACATTGCCACCTAGAAATGCTGTGGTCAATTTGAAAAACTTTATAAAATTTAACAGTTAATAGAACAGGAAATAAATATATGTGAACAAATCAATGTGACTTGTACATAGGAAAATGTCAAAATAAAATGTAAAATATTATGATTTGATATAGGAAAATAAAAGAAAGTTATATTAAGAAGAAAAATAAAAAAAAACTGTGGATTTACATCCATTCTTCAGAAGACTTCATTATAAAGTTGAATTTATTTTCAAGAGACATGATAATGAACATTTTTAATTATATATACAGTGTGTATCAAAAATACTTTTACAAACTTTGGGTGCAGGTTCTTCACACCAAAACAATGACAAAAGTCCATATAAACATATGTACACAAATCCTTCATTTGTGAGTTATTATGTTTAAAGTTTACGGTAGATGCTGTTAAATGTACAATCAAGATACAATCCAAAAATACTTTTACAAACTTTGGGTGCAGGTTCCTCAAACCAAAACAAGGACAAAAGTCCATATAAACATATGTATACAAATCCTTCATTTTTGAGTTTTTAAATTTAAAGTTTACGGTAGATGCTATGAAATGAACAATCCAAGATACAATCCAAAAATACTTTTACAAACTTTAGAGGTGGGTTCTTCACACTGGAACAAGGGCAAAAGCCCATATAAACATATGTCTGCAAATCCTTCATTTTTGTCGAAATATTCAACATGTCCTGAAAGAAAAAGTAAAAGGAGAAAGCAGATAAAGTGTAAATACAAAATTTTATATTCAAGAATTGTTGAAGTGGTTTTACCAATAATGCTTTGAGTCAAGTTTCTTATTTTGAAGATAAAGTTTTGCTGTGACTAGAAATAGTCGCAACAAGGGAAGATTTTTTATGATTAAAAACATGGACTGACTATTAGACACAAAGGTACATGCAAATATGTTAAATTCTAATTGAAATTGTGTTAATTGAAGAGCATAGAATATCTAATAACTTTGCTTTAAATGCTTAAGAACTGAAACTTTTCTGATTAATAAAGTATCATGTTTTAAATGCTGTGTAAATTTTTATCTTTATTTGTAAATTAAAAGTTCAATAAATTTTACTTAAATTTAGTATCCACTCAGTAGAGATAATGTATTTCATTAATAATTTTTAATAAAAGGTTTTTTTTTTATTTTGTCTGATATTGATTAATTAATTTTTATAATTTCTTCTGTAACGGGAATGCTTGTAAGAAAGATTTATTCTCCCATTTAAATTTTCCCCATTATGGGCATTATTATATCCATGATATAATAGCATCAATATTTCATGGATAGCTGAAAGGAAAAAAAAATGACAAACATGCTTTGTTCTCAGAGAGAATTTTATATTACCAAGTTATACACAAAGCTAATACATATATACAAGTTTCCCACGTGGAGAATAATACATCACATATAAAGCGGAGTAAGGAGAAACAAAAAGAAAGGGTTTTACATATAATATGGAGATACTCATGTACCTGGAGAAGCCATTTTTGAGACTCCATATTCAAACAGGCCAAATTCATCTATGCCCCAGGCGAGAACATATTCCATGAACAGGAAACAGCGAGTCTTGGGTTTTCCCAAATTGAGAACTGTGAGCTGGAGTTTCAATCTATATCTAGAAAAGGTTTATTCCAAAAGGGAAATGGACCATGGACTTATATGCTGCTGGGAAAGCAGATTTAGCCTCTGTCTGGTTCATGGGGAGCCCAAGCTAAAGAAAGCAACCTTACCATTTGGTTGCTGTAAATGAACTGAAATTGACTGGCACTTTCATCATTGTATAGAGTGATGTCATTAAGTGGCCGTCACATGACCCATGTGACTTATCTCAACCAGCCTTTTGTATCTTTATAGTTCATTTTACCAGATTTTAATCTATGTATATTTTTGAAGTTTTTCTTTACAAACACTACAGATACAAGTATTATTAAGAAAAGCAGATTTATTATGTATATAATCAAGTTTGGCCTTAAGAACTGCTGAGCCCAATTGGAGACATTTTTTGCAGGGTCCAAGATTGACAGCCAATGTTGTAGTAAAAACTGTTTTGTGTATATTTGTGTAATTGTCTTTTTAATTTTTTTCAGAAAGAAATAATTTTTGACATTGTATAGATTATTTAATTCAAATACAGTTTAAAAATATCTCAAAGTATAAACAGACTTTATTGACTTTTGAAAAGACACCTCAGTAAATTTTGCAATGTGTTGTGTGCATTTGACAAAACTAGAGTAGCTTAGCCAATCACATTGCCCAATTGGGAACAATAGGTTTAATTGTCTTAAAATGAGCCCTGTGTATAATGTAAACAAATTGCCAAATTACTAAACAAATACATTGACATACAAGAAGTGGATTGGCAGTGGTCAGGGATTAATGCAAACATTACTGATAGAATTGGGTTATTATAATTGTGTTGTATAATTT